TGCATGAATTTCTTAAAAAAAATAATTATACCTTGCTTTAATCACAAACATACATTTAATCAGTTTTGTTATAACAGAAAACTAGAAAAGCAAAATTTCCCCGCTATGCTTAACACCCCACCCCTTAAAATTGTAAGTAATATACTGCAATTTAAAGTTACTCCACTAATATGGGGATGAAGAAGGTAGAAAAAAGCTATGAACTAATACATCAGATAGAAATGGTTACTTTTTTTTAATCTTTACCCCTTAAAGCTACTTTTTTAATAAAAAAAAGCAGTCCTCTCACCTGTGAGGATCGTCTTCCTTTCCTCTTGTAGTCTTCCACATCTCTCTCTTCCTTAAGAGCAGCCATTTTGGAAGGGTACTCTAACTCAGCCTTTCTTTTAGATCTAGGAAACCTAGAAAACAGGTTGGATAAGTCAGTACTTACCCCAATTCCTGTGAAGCAGGGCCTTCTCTGGCTGCAACGCATGGGTGTGGCTTTATAGGACGAAACAGAAGAGGGGTGAAAGTAGAAAAAAATGTAAGCATTTAAAAGGGTAGTGTAAAAATCCTCAAACTATTTTGCTCATGATTAAGAAGAGCTGCAGGGGGAACATCTGCTATCCTAGTAAAGGTCTTTTTACAACTGTTGCAATAACTAGGTGCAACCTAAAGCTAAAATCTGTAGAAAACAACCTATGTTGATTACTATCTTACATAACTATCATGAATAAAACTGGTACAGGGCAAGCAAATTCCACCTTTGATTCCCAAACCCACTACATAAATTAAATTCTACTTCTCTAGATTTTAAATCCAAAAATATTTAACATTTTGCAAATACTGCTTATTAGAATTATCTTATGTGTAACCTAGTGTAATCAGTGATCCAGCAGCTTACAAAACTGGAACACTAGAGAATGTGTTAAATGTTTTCTGTATTGAAAAATATTTTCCACTAACACCAGTGCAAGAATCCTTTACTGATTCTATTCTTGCAACATCAGAGATTTTAACACTTGATCCTCAGCGATCTGTAGCACTAGCCATCTGCATTACTTTTGCTTCCAAGGGATGTATTCGATCACTACCCTGTACTCTCTATTTACATGCCCAACTTTTCACAATAAATGTTAACAAAGTTATGTACGTATCATTACAAAAACCAAGTATTTCACAAGACAAACTCAGTGAACAAATCCATATCTAAGCATTCAAACAAAAAAACCACGTTCCCTTTAGCCTGTATTATTTCAAGCTTCCTGAGATCATTAAGTTACCTAATTTGCCTTACTATACACTTCTTTGGCTACAGTTCACCTCTACTTTGGACATTTCTTGAAACTTTATTACAGTAGCCAAAATAGAATACTGTCAACTAAATAAGATGCTTCTATAAAACTACATTTGTGCTGCATTAAAATCATTGATATTTACAAGATTAGGTGTATATTTTGGTGGGTTGGTTGTCTGGGTTGTGGTTTTGGTTGTTGGGGGGTTTTTTGTTCGTTTTTTTAAGTTTTATTCCTGCAAATACTGCATAGGGAAAGGCAGGCAGGTCTCTACTAATGACCAATAATGAACTGTTATTCAGAGTAAAAATTATTATTTAATACAATTCCATGTTAAAATCCAGCTTCAAATTAAACTCAACTTGTGAAATGATGAGTACCACGATTTAATGCGCTAACAATTTTAAAGGTTTTATGAAGTAACATCAAAGCGTTTGTATTCTCTTCAGTTCCTCTCTACACAATGTTAAACCTGCTCTTGAAATCATTTAAATCAAACATCAGTTTGATTTAGGAAGTATTAGGATACTAAGTCTTTCAACTGAACTGTTCAATTCCTTAAGTCATGCAGGGGAGGTATGAAACAGAACCATTAACAATTCAAGGGCTTTTAAGGAGTAGCCGTATGGCAAAGTAAAACTTTGGGAATTGTTTGGGATGAAAGGGATAAGTCTATTTAAATACATTTTTAAGTAATGAAAAGTATGCAATCCCTCTCTGATTTTGTCACCTGCTGCTTTCCCCAGTGAGCCGTTATGCTGACCAACATAAAACTCTCAGGCATGGTCTCTGCCATGATGGTCTCTGAAGGCCATGACAGTCAAAAGAGTTGTCTCCTTACTGATGCATACCATCAGCTGAAGTGGAATACAGCCCTGTTCAGCCCTATTTCTACTTTGCCTCATAGAAAGCTGTTAAAAAAAGCTGTCAGTATTAGCTTTTTTTACACTTAACATCAGCAAAATACTATATTCAATTCTAAATAAAAACACACTGAACATTTTTATCAGCCGAGTTATATTGGCATTGAAACAGTTGTATACTGCAACAACTACAAAACTGAAAGTAGTCTCAGAACAAATCTGTTAGTTATAATGAGCAGAAAGTCACTAGATGTCTCATTACTCAAAGGAACTTAAAATGCTACTGCATCTCTTACAGAGACAAGAAGATAACAGAGGTGAAACAGACATTCCGAAGATGGAAGTTTACCTGTCCATTCATAAAATACTATGGAGATGTATTGGTCTTTTTTGTAAATAGCTAAAGTTGGACCTAATGTGCATGCAGTATATCATGCCAAACCTAAGAGTTAAAGCAGCAAAACAACAGATTTTCAGCTCTAAGTGTGTGGCAGTTTATTCCCAATGCCAATAGGAACGTCTGCTGGGGAAAAAAACAAGATATTAGCTTAATAACTTATGTGATTGGTTTCCAAGCTTTACTGAGGCATGTTCAAATGCTTTGAACTCATCATTCCTCCCGGTTGTCAAACTATTCAACAACCCTTAAGCAGCCAAAACAATTGCTTACATGGAAAAGTTATTTTTAGCTGTTTTGCTAAGGGATCCAGTTTCTTCTCTGCTTTTAATGTAGGAACAGAAACTAGCATGACCTGCTGGTTTCTCTGTTCTCAATTCTCTAAGGCTTCAGCTTGCAGTGAAGGGAGGCAAAATTAAAAAAAAAAAACCAACAACAACAAACCTGCATCATTTTTGCTCACCATACTTTACTTGAAATACTCAAGCAAAAAAACTTAGGTTTTGAGGAGAGAGGAAAGAAAAGCAAGGGGGGATATCATGACAGTATTTCCCTCCAGGTAGGGTGTGGATGATTGCCCCAGTGCGCATTTGATCTTGACTTCGTTCAAGTTGAGGAAAGTTTGAACCAAGGTTTTCACAGGACTGCTTCTTCGTGTTGCCCACCAAGATCAAGGCGGGATTGCCACCGAATGTCGTGGCTCTTGTGCATGTGCGGTTGGGGGAGCGGAGAAAGGGAAATGGGAAACTATCCGAGAGACCTTTGCACTATGACTTCCCCCACCTCCCCGGGCAGCAAAAGGTCGCTACACGTGCTAACTCGCCTCGGGAACGGGGTGAGGGATATTAGGGAGGTGCTGCAACGTGTACCAGCATTCCTCAATGAGAAGCAGAGCACAGCACTAAACGACCTTAATGCTTTAGAAGTCTCTTCCCAGCAAAATGAGTAGCAAAAGAATCTCTCTAGCACACTACTGCGGGTAGCTTACACGGGGGGGGGCCCACACAGGGAGGACAGAACAATGACACACGCGTGTGTGGGACTCGCTTCTCCCCACTCTCGCCCGAATACGCGCCTAAGCGTTTCGGTGTCCCCCAGGATAGCCGAGGACTCTGCTACCCACAGGCCTGTCCCAAGCCGAGGGCCAGGCCTCCCCCGCCCACGCTCTGGAGCGCAGCGAAATGGCGGCCGCAGTTGCTGCGCCCGAGGGGCCGCACGGCGGAAGTGCAGCGCCTCCTGCATCCTCACTCTTCCTGCCAGCGGCCGCCATTGCGAGCTAATACACCATGACCCAGGGAAAAACGAGTCTGGAGCGCGGCAGAAACGCTACAAGGCGGACGCGGCAGCCGCTCCGGGGCAGCGGCGGGAACCGCGAGGGGCACCACT